TTATACTTTCAGATGTCACTTCAGTTATTCATGAAAACAATTAATGTACTCTCCTGGAAATGATAAAAAATGAATTTAAAACTTCAAACACACATTTTGTACATTTCTACTGTGTGTGTGTGTGTGTGTGTGTGTGTGTGTGTGTGTGTGTTTTAAAGGAAGGGAGTACATGTTAAACATTTTAAATCAATTTTCAGGAAGACAGTATTTACCTTCACATTGGTTAAAACAAAATACAAAATAGCATGGCGGAAAGAGAAAAAAAACAACTATCACCTCCTATAAATCTGAAAGTCTGGTGGAATGCAGTCCATAATTTTCACTAAACTGGGTCAAATTTTTAGGAAAAACAACATCTCACTCATAACTTAAAACCTGCCCTTTTTGGCCTGGCCACTGGAGCTCAGTGGTTGAGTGTGGACCCATGCACTGAGGGGTCGGTGGTTCGATTCCTGGTCAGGGTACATGCCTGGGTTGCAGACTCAGTCCCTGGTGGGGGCGCGTGCCGGTGTCAGGTGATCAGTGTTTCTATCTCTCTATCTCTTCCTCTCTCACTAAAATAGTAATAATAATAAAAAAAAAACATTAAAAAAACCTGGTCTTTTGTATTTTATAGTTTTCTTTATATATGAAATAGGTTAAATAGGTTACATTTATTGTAAAATGTCATTCTTATCTTTTGCCCAACATTTAAAAAAAAAAAAAATCCTCATCCCTCTCATAGCTTTCAGAAGATTATAAAGGCTTTCTCAGAATTTTCTTCTTAATGCATTATAAACACTCTCCTGCTGATTGTGAAAATTACTACATTAAAAACGTTTACGGGAACCTGTGCTTATCTTTCTCCTCTGCTGTTAGGGTAGATCCTAACTTCATTTCCCTTCATTTTTACTTTTCCCAGTTGATTTTAAGATCAAAAGTACAAGAAGAGAAAGTTGTGGACCTATTTGTTTAGGAAGGTATTTTAGAGGAAAATACCTAAGGTTTCCTTTCTCTTTGTCAAGTAGAACCCATTCATGCGGGGTAGTATTTGGCAAGAATAATACTTGTAATCACAAAGAACAATCATCTTTCATTATCTTGCTGGTAAACTGGTCCTGTGTTTGAATTGATTTTTATAAAAAGCTAACCCTGGAGTTTGGGAAATTAAACATGAGTTCATTTTTCTTTGTAGTTCTTTTTTCTATTCTCACTGACATCGTTCTTGGGGCTTGTATGCATGCACATAAGCATAACCAATGGACATAAGACACTGGGGGGTAGGGGAGGCCGGGGGAATGTCAAGGGGGGAAAAAAGGAGACATATGTAATACTCTTTGTAATACTTTAAGCAATAAAACAAAATTTTAAAAAAAGTAATATGCTTAAGGAATTACATCACTCTAATTATGTCTATATTTTTTCACTATTCTGAGCTCCCTCTACAATAAGATTGGTATAAATTACCTGCATTGTTGTTAATAAGGACTTTTACAAAATGAAGTTCTGACTTCCTTAGGATTTTTTTCTTTATTCAAAATGTCTTACTAAGTTACACTTTAGAGATGAGCTTCAGGATTGAAGTCTAATTTTATTAAAATTTTATTTTTAAAACAATTGGAGTTATCAGAGTGGGGCTGGAATGTCTACTTTTAAATTAGATCCCAGTGCTTATTAGCAACTAGATTACTTTCAATAAATGTTAGCTATTACTATTTTAAATGTATCTTTTCAGTAGCCTGTCTTAATCTCCAGGTTTATCTGAAAATAATAGTTTTAAATGATGGTCTTAATAGCATCTAATATGTATAGATTGTTAATTTTGTAACTAGATACTGTGTTAAGGATGTAAATATATTATCTTGAGCCCTAACTGGTTTGGCTCAATGGATAGAGCGTCGGCCTGAGGACTGAAGGGTCCCAGGTTCGATTCCGGTCAAGGGCATGTACCTTGGTTGTGGGCACATCCCCAGTTGGAGGTGTGCAGGAGGCAGCTGATGGATGTTTCTCTCTCATTGATGTTTCTAACTGTCTATCCCTCTCCCTTCCTCTCTGTAAAAAAAAAAAAAAAAAAATCAATAAAATATATTTTAAAAAATATATTATCTTGATATCTTATTATTTGCTACTAGAGGCCTGATGCATGAAGTTTGTGCAAGAGTAGGTCTTTGCAGCCGGGCTACCTGTATCCTTCCCTCGCAGGTGCCGGCTTCATCCCAGAAGGACATCTGAAAGGACATCCAGTCTAATTAGCGTATTACGCTTTTATTATTATACATTGGTTTTTGATTTGTAGTTTTTTGGTTTTGTAGGTTTAAAAAAATAATCAACTACAGTATTAGAGATTTTTGCCAGTTGAAGAGGAATTCAGTCAGAATACTTTGGGTTTTTGGAATGGGCTAACTTGATACCTTTCACATTGTTCTGTATTTGGGAAAGTAACCAGTTTTTCTTAGTTGTAGCACAGCCAGGCATCTGCTGGTTTGTAGGAAACAGAGAATTGTTATACCTCTTATTTCCATTGCTTATGAAATCTCAACGTGGAGTTACTTTAATACTTAGCCTTTCTGTGTAGGAATATTTTTGCGAAGCTTAGTTTTCAGAACCAACTGAAAAAGCCAGGGCAGAGGATTGGGAGGTTGCTACCAGGGACCAGATTTGAATGGGTTATAGTATAGTCTTGGCAGCCGGCTGGTTGGAGGGCAAAGCATTCCTGGCACTTCGGCTTTTGTAACTGTGGCCATGAGGATGCCTCAGCTTCTTCAGTGAACTTTGTTGTCTGGCCACACTCTTCAGCAAGGGGCTCTTCGGACTAGACTTTGGCCAGACTTCCGGAACATTTATTCAGCTATGCTAAGAGTTAATTCCTGTCTTGCACAGAGATATCATTTCACTTATCTAGCTAGCTCTGACACCATTTTATGATTGTACTTCACAGTCTCAACTGCAGAATGAAAGGCAGATTGTTAGATTTTGGAATGTGAGATCTGACTTAAGGAGTCTCAAGTGCTTCTGAAATCCTAAAATAACCCATCCAGATGCTCTGGTTGTGCTGGGTGTGCATCTGTGTTTAAATGATGTCTTTGAGTGGTGAGGTTGCAGAGGACTTGTGTCACCTTGTCTGTGACAGGAAGTCTTATTTGCTTCTCTTTCGCCCTTAAAGGCATAGGACATGTTACTTAAAAGATGGAAGAGCACAGCCCACCAGGACAGAAAGATAGAAGGTTTTCAAAGGTGTAACACGTTCTTGGCTTTTTCAGTCTGAGTTTTTTCATTTACGTCTCCTTTCAAAAAAATTATACCTCTTCATTTTTAAACATTCTTTGTTCTCTGTTTCTTATACTCATCCTTTTCTTGTATTTTTGGGGAGTCTTGGGGTCAGAAAGAAGGGTTAAGTACCTAGTCTCCTATGTGGATGGCTGGCATGGTAAGTGTACGTGATCATGTTTTTTGTCTCTGGACTGTTTCCAGTGTTCCAAAAATGTTCATAATTTGTACTTCAGCTATGTATTTTATAGGTTTGTGTTTTAAATATTATTTACTTAGGGTTTTTTTGTTTGTTTTTTGCATGGTTCACACGTAAAAAAAAGTATAGAGCGGAGAGTCTTATTTCCTCCTCTGTGCACATCTGCCTAATCCCGACCCCCTAATGATAGTGGGTGATTTTAGTTGCTTGTTTATTTTTCCAAAGATTAAAAACATCCATATATAGACCCACAGAAAATATATCCCCCCACTTTCAAAATTACATCTATATACCTGCCCCTTGCTTATTTATTTAACATAAGATATAATTTGGGGATCTTTCTAGGACAGTACATGAAGAGCTCCCTTGTGTGGTGATGGGGCGTGTGTATGCGAGTGTGTGTGTGTGTGTGTGTGTGTGTGTGTGTGTGTGTGTGTGACCATTACAGAGTGTTCACAGCTACAGCGAATATCCTTTACATATGTAATCTGGTAAATTTCTGTTGGGCCAAAGGGTGCTTGAATCTCTAAATTCAATAATTATTGTAGTAGTGGTTTGCACTACTTCCAGCACTGTCTTAGGAATTTAAAAAAAAATCAAGTTGCAATTAAGTTGGATGCAACTTTTTCAAAAGTCACATATTAAAGCAGAGTAAATTTTTAAGTGTAAAATTCTATGTGTAGTCACAGCTGCCACCCCAGTCAGTACAAAGACATTTCTTTGTAGTCTGTCCCCTCTGATAGCCCTGCCTCAGGCAACCGTTGATGTGATTTCTGGTCTTATAGTTTTGCCTTTTCCAGAATGTCTTTTCACATCAAGTCATACATATAGTGTGCATCCTTTTGTGTACCTGTCACTTACAAACCATGGTATACTTGTCAACAACACTAAGAAGTAAATATTGGAACAATACCATTTACTAAACTAGAGACTTTATTTGCATCTTACCAGTCTTCCCACTAATGTCTTTTTCCTGCTCAGGATACAATCCAGGCTACCACATTGCATGTAGCATTTTGAAAAATTTGTTTGTCTGTTTGTTTTTTTCTTGAGTTGTGAGAGTTCTTTATGTATTCTGGACACAAGTCCTTTATCTGATTGAATGCCACTTCGTAACTTGAATGTTTCTATACAAAATTTTTATTTGTAGCAGAATCATTACTTATTCTAATGTTTGGCTAAATGCAAATATATATATATATATATAATATATATATATATTATAGACATATATATATATTTAATGTTGATTTAATTCACATAACATTAGAGGTATGTAGCTTCTCCACTTATATAACAAATGGATATGTTCTAAAAATTGTGAAAAAACTTGTATTTTCAGATTCTACTATAATTTATAGATATGTACTCAGAAAAATATTTTCTTTTTTAATCCTTATTCAAAGATATGATTTTTCACTGATGAAAGAGAGAGAGGGAGAGGGAGATAGAGAGGGAGAGGGAGAGAAAAACATTGATCAGTTGCCTCCTGTAGGTGTTCCAACTGGGGATTGACCCCCCAACCTAGGTATGTACCCCCCCCCCTCAACCTAGGTATGTGCCCTGACCTGGAATTGAACCCACATTCTTTTGGTGCACAGGACAACACTCCAACCAACGGATCCACACCAGTCAGGGCAGAAAAAATATTTTCTTATTGCTGAAATATTACCTATGTGATGTGTGAATCATTTTTTGACAAACATTGGATGTAGCCACATAGGAAAGCCTTTCAGGGTCTAGGAAGTGGCCTAAGAACCTTTTGCATTGAAGCAGATGGTTTCTTAATTTTTTTTTTCTTTTACAGTGAACCTCACTGCAGAAATTTTTGTACTTTACCAGATATCAGTAAACAGTCACTGCTTCTATGAGTCCTTATCATAGGACTTAATTAATTGGACAAATGTATACAAGGGTCTCCTGTGTACCACTCACTATTTTAGGCATTGAGATACAGTTATGAACAACAAGTCCTTGCTTAGTCCATGGAGCTTACGTTCTAGTGAGGGGTAGCACACAAACAAGAAAATAAATAGCTTGTTAGATGTTGATAAATATTATAGAAAAATATTAAGTTGAGACAGGCCCTGTTTGGAAGGCTCACGGATAATGAAGTGGTACTTGAGGGATTGAATGAAGCGACGGAGCCAGCTTTGTGGCGAACAGAGGAGAAAACGTCACAGACTGTCTAGGTGGGTCTGTCTGGGCTTGGCTGGAGCAGTTAGGTAGTGGCAGATGGAAGGTGTTGATACCAGAGGGTTAGCAGGAGAGGCCCAATTAAGGAGGGACTTTGGCACTTATTCTGAGTGTGCTGGGGAACCATTGGAAGGATTTGCGTAGAGGCGTGGTAAGATCACTCTAATGAGAACAGTCAGTGGAGGGGAGAGGGGAGAGGCAGGGAGGCTGATCAGGACGGCTAATGTAGTCAGCTCTGTGTGACAGCAGGTGGTGGGAGGGGAAAACAGTCACATGTTGGATATATCATAAAAGTAGAGCAGACAAGATATGCTAGCTATAGCTATGAAAGATAGAAGACTCGGGGATGACTTCATGGTTTCTGGAAGGATGAGGATGATATGTTTTGGAGAAGAGGATTTTGGGAAGATCAGGCTCCATTAAACAGGGATGGTGGGTTGGTGCTGGTGGTGAGAGTGAGAAGTTCAGTTTCAGAACAAGGAGAGTTTGGGATGCCTGTTTGTCATCAAGTAAGGAGTTTGGAGCTCACGGGGCTAGAGATTTAAGGCTACGGTGCTTTTTTTAAAAAAATATATATTTTATTGATTTCTTACAGAGAGGAAGAGAGAGAGATAGAGAGTTAGAAACATTGATGAGAGAGAAACATCGATCAGCTGCCTCCTGCATACTCCCCACTGGGGATGTGCCCGCAACCAAGGCACATGCCCCTTGACCGGAATCGAACCTGAGACCCTCCAGTCCGCAGGCCAACGCTCTATCCACTGAGCCAAACCGGCTTTGGCATACGGTGCTTTTTCATTCACACCTGACATCTCTTTATCATGAGAAGTATTTCTTTACTTTAGTGACATGAGTGCCCAGGACAGAGCTTCACATGCAGGAGATGTTTAATCAGTATTTGTGGAATAAACCTGCAGTGGAAATCTCAATATTGTTTTCTGTCATGACGTATTTTACTCTAATCGTGTTTGGTGTTTGATGTGTGTATTATTTTCTTTCAAATAAACTTTAATAAAATGTGACTTTATGAGTAGTAATGAGAAGGTTTGATCACCCTTTGTAAGCAGTAATTTCGGGAAATATGTAGACATTAGAAAACAGAGCATGCTGCTGAACTGGAGCAATTGACACTGCCCCTCATAACCTCTGTTCCTGACCATCATCAGCCCTGCTGTCCTCAGTGGTCATTAATAGCCATTACTTTCTAATGCTCACACTGTATGGGAAGTTACATTTATGTGCATCGTAGGTTATTTTTAATCAGAAAAAGGGTGTTGGTAGTAACTGGATTTGGCTTTTGAAACTTACTTTGGCTTAACTTTACTGGGTTTAAGAAACTCACTGTATTCATCTATTCAGGCTGCCATAACAAGGTAACTTAGACTGAATGGCTTAAACAATGGGAGTTTATTTTCTCACAGTTCTGGAGGCTAGAAGTTTAAGATCAAGGTTCTGACTGACTCAGTTTCTGGCGAGGGCTCACTTCCTGGCTTGCCGAAGGCCACCTTCCTGTTGTTCTCACAAGGGCTTTCCTCTGTAAAAATACAGAGAGAACGGGAGAGAGCTCTGGTGTCTCTCCCTCATTTATAAGGATACCTATTCCATTGGACCAGGGTCCTACCCTCATGACCTCATCTAACCTTGATTGGCTCCTAATGGCTCCATCTTCACATATGACAGTGGGAGTTAGGGCTTCCCCATATGAAAGGTTTTGTTTGTAGCATTTATCATTATAGCATCTTTAATTACTGGGATTATTTTGCATTTCTACTGAGTGTGACTTTAAGAAAGAACACATCTCTAGGTATTTATAGCCAAGGAATCATTCTAGGTAATGAAAGTGTGTTTGTGAAAAATAAATGAAAGAATAATACAAAGATTTAAGTTTACTGAGAAGGGTAATTTAAATTTCTGAAATGCCTACATTTCATGTAGAATATTTAAATACATGTAACTTATTTACCTACAAAGCACAAAGAAAAGCAACAATACATGTAAAAAATGTTTCTTCATCCTGGTGGAATGATTTAGTGACTTAACAAATTGTTCATTTGTAATTAGAATTCAAATAATGTGCTAGGGTTCTTAAATTCTTTTCTTAAGTAGGGTAAATGTGCCCACATATAGATTTAATTGCATTATTAATTTGTTTAACATTTTCATGGTGTAGTCGACTTTTGCACAGACTGAATTACTAATTAGTGGAACCTTAATGAATATCGTTTAATTTTACCACATAATGTGGCCTGTGACATCATTCGTGAGCTTTCCCCAGGGAGGGATTGGACTAAGAGGCATCTCCATGGAGATGTTACATCTGTGTCTGCTTCATCTGACCCTGACACTCCTGAAGGGACCTGTGATCGGGAATAGATGGAGACAGACACACACACACACATACACACACACACATGCACACACACACATCTAAAAGCATTGATATAGAATTCCCTTCTTTTTGATAAGAAGTGGAAAAGGATAGCATTCAGATTTTTGTGTCTCCATGTTACCCAGCAAAAATAACCAAGACTGTGATACAGATAGTTTGGTTATAGTTTTCACTGCCACACTGCATAAAATTTTATCTCCTTTCAGCTTTTGAAATTTAGGCAGGTATGGGTAAAAGTAAGTTCAAACTTTAGCACACAGGATAAGCCTTGTCAAAATTTCACTTTGTTCAAATAAACAGACTTCAGTATACCACTAACTGCGCTCCTTCCTGTGTGGCGAGTTAGTTAACTTGACATTTGGGACAGCAGTTGCCAACCTTTCAGACCTCATGGACCACCGGGGCTTGCGGGCCACTGGTTGGCAACTGTTGATTTGGGAATTATTGTAGAAAGATTCATATGCAGGAACGGTGTTGGGGGAATTCTCCCCCTCCCCAGCCCTATTGTTTTTTGAAATGATGAAAACAAAAAAATTTTGAATTTATATTTTCAGTTTGGCCAATTGAAAGGATCAAGAAAACGCAGTGTAATAATTGTACAGCATATCTTTGTCTACATACTGTTTCACTGTTTGGCGTGTAAAACTGACCTCTGAGACCCTTTGAGCCAAAAATAACAGGACCGGGGCTTCAGCCCTGTGGTCCTAGATTAGAGTTAGTCCATGCCCACTGAAAGGACACCCAACATAGCTGCCACCTGAAGGGGATTTCCAGACAGGAATGAATTGAAATATGGGAGAAGAAGTCACTTTTCCACGAAATAGGGTCTCAAGCAATTCGGTGCATCTGGCTGAGTAACATTCTGAGTGAATGTGGGACCTGCATCATGGGCCGTAACTGTGAAAATTCACACTCCTGCACCCCAGAGACGCGCTGTCACACGCCAGCTACTCTGAGCACTCCACTGGGCTGCGAGGTGCATTGGGGAACACAGGTGAGTAAGACACGTGCAGGGAATTCCCAGTGCAGTGAGGGCGGTGCCCATCTGAGGAGCATTCATCCGAGGTGCATTGGGGAACACAGGTGAGTAAGACACGTGCAGGGAATTCCCAGTGCAGTGAGGGCGGTGCCCATCTGAGGAGCATTCATCCAGCGTCGCGAAGTGCCTGATGAGGTGGTGTGGGAAAGAGTGAGAGCAGCTGCAATGTGCAGGTGTCAAATGATAGACTCCATAGCTGTTTCTAGTGAAAGGATCATGGTTCCCAAGCAGCCTCTCCTCTACACTTTCTTCCATCTCATTTCATGTTATAATTATTCTTAGGGCTTTGAGCAGAGCATCCTACACAGTTTAAAGCAGGCATTTAGAGCAGAGAATAAAAGAAAGGAGATTCCAAGACATTTTGAGCAGTGTTTCCTGTGCTGTCATATATACCCAAAGTATACAGAACACTAGTCTATTTCTTAAAGGCTATTTTGGTAATTTTGGATATTAAGCTCAAAAGCAATCTTTTGTTAACGAGGATTTGTTAAAAGATTTTTTTTTGTGTGTTCAATATTAGCAAGTGGACAGTGGACAAAGCAGGCAGTTTTTGCTTTTTGTTTTTGGTAAGGGACGGACAACTTTGCATCCTACTGATTAAAGAGAAAATACCTAAGTAAATGTCTGTCCTAAAAATAGATTCCTTCAGGTTTTTTGGTTTTGTCACACCAGGGGTGGAGTCATTAAACAGGAAGAAGGAAATCCAGTAAACAGGAATTGCGTGCTGAGATATTTTTTTGGAAGAGAAATGGAGGCCCATGCCCTGAGAATGTCAGCGGAATGTTTCACCATTATGCGTACCTTTTTAAGAATGTTGGACTGAAGAGCATGCCAGTGGTCTTTTCTTTCATTACCACTGTGGATGATGAATGACCTTCACCCGGACTGCATGTTGTGCTTAAAGATTTGAAAAGTGAATCTAATTGTATTTTCACAGATTAATACATTGTGGTGGTTAGCCTCAATGTTTTCAATGCTTTATACTCTAAGGATTTTTTTTTTCATGTTAGGTAAAGATCATTTTAGTATAACTTAGACTATTTTGGTATAGCCATGTGTTTTTACTGTGTGTGTGTGTGTTTTCAAGAAATTGGGAAGATATTTATTTCTTTACAATATTAAGTTAGTTTCAGGTGTACAATATAGTGACTAGATATGTATCCAGGTATTATATTGAAAAGCACAACCCCTTTCTGGAAATCCAGCAGGTAAACAGCAAATAAACCTCAACGTACCTTCCTCTTTTAGAGCAGTTGCTTTTGGAAGCTATATATTAATTCCATAACATTATTATTTCTTAAAATATTTTGTGGGGGTGTTTCCTTTGTAATGCCAAGTGTTCAGTTGTGCAGTGACAGCTTTAAGTGTTATAAATGTCAGAGGATTCAGGCTTTTCCCATTATGGGGGGATGGATGTGAGGAAAGGGTTTCAGTGATAATTCTCTAGTCTACCAAGGAGTAGAAAACAAAGTCAAGGAGACTAGCATGTTATTTAGCAGGTGGGTGCTGGGAGGAGATAATTTAACACTGATAATGCCAATTTAATGTCTGATCTTACAAGCAGTGATGTTGAATCTATTTTGAACCTCATTTTTTCCCTAGAAATACATATTAAAAAAAGAAATACAAACATTCTAGAACCGAGTCTAAAACAATGTAAGTGAAGGAAAGCCTTCCTTCTGTATACCACCATCCCAAAGGCTCTAATAAGATTTTTGTACACTTGGAAACAAAGTTTTATCATCCTACCAGTATGTTGAGATTTAAAAAAAATAATTTAAGCAAGTGGAGTCATTTTATACATGTAGTTCTTGCCTTTTACATATTCCTGTGAGGGGATCCGAGGTCAGCCTCTTTCTGTTCAGAGGATGCACAGTATTCCTGGGCTTCATTGTCATTGATCTCAGTTGTTCCCTATGGGTGGACATTCATGGTAGTTTTGGATTCCATGTCCCTTTACAAATAGAACTGTGGTGAATATCATTAAATGTGTGTGTATGTGTGTGTATGTGTGTTTTTGGATTTTTTTTTGTGTGTGAATAGATATATAGATTAGATTACTGGCAGTAGAATTACCAAGTCTCTCTGTCTCTCTGTCTCTCTCTCTCTCTCTCTCTATATATATATATATGTATGTATATATATATAAAATATATATACATATATATACATATATAAATATATATATTTAACATTTTGACAGATATTGGCAAATGGTTCATTGAAAAGTTGTGCCAATTTATATTTTCACCACCAGTGTATAAAAATCCATGCCAGTGATAGCTTTCATTACATTTTTACAATTTTGCCAATCTGAGAAATGAAAAATTGTGTTCAGAGAACAATTCTTTGATTCTGAGTGAGGTTGAACATATTTTCATATGTTTACTGGCTAGTGTTGAAGGGTAATTTTAGCCAGTTTTACCTACATAGCAATAAGACATGCTTGGTATTAAGTGGCGACAGACTCCACTAAGAGGGGACCCTGAGAGCCCAGCACCTCTGTAACATAAGTGCTCATCTCAGCGCATCAGTGTTGTCTGGGGCATGTGTACAGAGCGGAAGAATTCCCAGTACTTTCTGAGTATATATGACCAAATGTCCTTCCATGTTGTGTACATCTAAGATGATAGGAGTAGCAACTTTATAGCAAAGATTATTATCTAGGACACTTGGAAAAGACAGAATTTGGATGTTTATTTTTTCTTTTTTGACTTTGAAAGTAAAAAAGAGGTATCTTAATGCCACTCAGAATATTAAAAATCATGGTAATATTTTGTTTTATTTTTTCCTTTTTTTGTTATCCGAAGTTAATGAATTTATAGCTTTGACAAACTGAGAAACATTTTTCTCATATATAATAAGTCCAGACTGATTTCTTGCAAAACCAGTAAACAATTTATTTGCAGTATTTGAACATGAATTATAGGATGGAAAAATTCTACGGGTACATTGGCAAGTGGATGGCACCAGATGATCAAATATTTCATTTCTGTGTCTACATTTCATAAGTCAGTTTCACACAACAGCTGCTATGGAGGAGGGGTTGATTTGCCAGAATACGTCATAGTTTATTTTATGTTATTTAAAAAAAAACACACAGAAAATAATATGAAATGCATTTAGGCACAAAAGGTTCAAGCAAGCAAGTTTATTGCTACAAAGTAAAAAAGATCACTTAAAACATAGAGTTCTAAAAAGAGCCCTCTTTTCATGTTTCAGTGTTTTAAATTATAGAAAGCAATGGTTAATTTTTAAAGTCTTGTAGCTTATAAGCACTAACAGCTAATATCAAGCATTTATTGGATCCTTTCTGTGTAAAACATTTTACCTACATTATGTAAAGAACATATTATCCCATTTTTCAAAAGAGGCTTTGGAAGTGCAGTGGCTTGTCAGTGCCGATGCCGATGGTAAGGGGTAGAGCTGGTGTTGGAATTCAGGGACTTTGGTTCTGGAACTTGTACTCCTAAGCACTGTGTTAGATTGCATCCACGTAATCAAGACGAATGCATGTGATTTCCTGTTTATTTTAAAACGTTAAAAATAATCTTCCCTGGGTACTTTTCAAGGATTAAGGAGACATTTATTCTTTCTACAATAAATAACCATTTATTTTAATTTTGTTGATGAAAAATATATTTGTGCTACTCTTGGTTCATATCTTAATCTTCCCTTGTTGGAGTCTCAAAAGTTATGTGAGAACACTCACTGTAAATGGAAACCTGTAAAAGTGAGAGACATAGAAATACATGCTTGGATTGTTTCTTTTCTCCATCTTCTGGCATACTCATAGAAAATATATTCTTATGCACAAAATATTCCGCTGGGCCCATACGAATTGATTAGTAAAAGAAGGATTTGTAAAAACCAGGTGATATAATAGTTTATCTCTACTGAGGACTTGGATTAAATTTTACAGATTTTTTACACCTATAAGGATATACATATAATGCTCTAGATAAGAGCTTTTATCAAATGTTATATACTTTAAAGTTGATATTTGATGGGGAGTGAGTTGTATGGAGTATGTATTGCTGGCCTTTTTTTGTTTTTCTTTAGATGGGCAGGGTACTTTTGGGGAAGTGTTTTCTCTGACTCTGAACAAAGGCCTCCTTTTTTGACAGACCATGCTGTTGCCATGGAGACCTTAGGTTCTATAAATGTAGCTTCCAGTAACAGACAAGGATATGACATTGGGTTGTGTCTGTGTGTATGCTGTGACAGCACAGTGAAGCCTATATGTGTATGGTCAGTTTGTTCACCAAAGTTATTTTTTACAGTAGTCAGAAGCCCGTTTGTCTTTTTGCAATCTCCTTTTTTCATATTCTTTCGTGTGTGTGTGTGTGTGTGTGTGTGTGTATCTGACATAGAGACAATGGAACAGTATAGAGAAAAACCCGTTTTTCCTTCTCTAGTCTCATACTCCTTGCTCTTACCCAGTACCAATCACTGTTGAAAATTTGGTGGATGTCCTTGCAATCTGATTTTATTCTTTTATTCTGTGTGTCTTCATAAACCATAGTTTTGTGTTTTAAAAGTTCATTTAAATCCTATAATGCTTCTTACATCATTCTGCAACTTGCCTTTTTCTCAGCCATATTTTCTGAGGTCTCTTCATGTTGATGTATACAGTGGAGCCTTGACTTACAAGTATCCCAACTAACGAGTTTTTTGAGATACCAGCTGTCTCTCGGCTGATTTTTTGCATTGAGTTGATAGAGTAATTTGAGTTAACGAGCTCCTTAACGAGCTCGGTCTCCGAACGAATTAAACTCGTAAGTCAAGGCCCCACTGTATTGGGTTTGTTTATTTTAGTTGGTATATAGCAGTGGTCGGCAAACTCATTAGTCAACAGAGCAAAATATCAACAGTGCAACGATTGAAATTTCCTTTGAGAGCCAAATTTTTTAAACTTAAACTATATAGGTAGGTACATTGTTATTAACTTAATTAGGGTACTCCTAAGCTGACCTTTGCTAAAATCGTCCTCAATCTGAGGGGTCGACCTCAGCGAATGTACCCCCACTTCTTCTAACGCCACTTCTTCAAAATAGACTCGCCCAGGCCGAAAACCGACTTCTGCGCATGGGCCACGAAGTTTCAATCGCCCCCGCCCGCACGTGGTATTTTGTGGAAGAGCCACACTCAAGAGGCCAAAGAGCCCCATGTGGTTCACGAGCCACGGTTTGCCGACCACTGGTATATAGCATTCCATTGTATCACAGTTAATCTAGTCCCTTAGTAATGGATGTTTAGAATGTTACTCGTATTTCTGTGTAATGCCTCAATTTCATTTCTTTCTGTCTTTTCCATGTCATTGAGTATAGGAACTCAAATACTTGTTTTGGCAGAAGCTCAGTCATAAGCTATCTTTATTTTGTTCTCTTATTCTTTCCAGTGGTCTCAGTTCATTTTATTAATAATAAAAGTATTTTAGGTATCCTTTAATCATTCCTTCTCTCCAGATATTCAACCTATGGAAGTTGAACTGCGACACATATTACTCAGGTACTTGTAGCCTGGTCAGGTTCCAGGATGTCTTGATTATCTTTTCAAGTTATAGGTATACAGTTTTCAGAAGATTACAAGTAACAACATAGTGATTGCAAGAAACTGCTTGTCACATCTTGGTAGGTCTAGGATTTATAGAGAAAGCAAAGCTATAAGCTCTCAAATACTTTTGATCAAGTTTCACTGATGGTTTTACTTATTACACAACTTGCTTTCATATTTTTTATTTCCTTATTATCACAATACTGTTCAGAAAGTACTGCTGAGGACTCAGTGTTTGCCCAGTGTTTACAATTGTCAAAAATACAGGCTGTATATAGATCAGTGCTTGTCTGATAGAAGTACAGTGCAAGCCACGCATGTAATTTTAAATTTTCTAGTAGCCACATAAAAAAAAAAGTAAAATGAAACAGGTGTAATAAGTTTTATGTCACAAATTATTATATTGCTTACTGAATTGGAAAAATCAGAGAATTACTTATTTGATGTTGAAAAATAGCCTTTCAATCACATTTACATTTAATAGTACTTACACAGATAGATTTTATTGAATTCTAGGACTATCCTTTATCTTTAAGGTAGGTAGTTAGGTGAGATTCAGAACAGAAGAATAGATGTTGAAAATTATCAGTGCTAGTTCCTTATATTTATTTCCAGGAAAGCTTTTATTTTGAATTAGGAAGTGTTGTGACCTCTTAATAAAGAGATAGTCAAAATATCAGATGATTTGCTAATTTTGGAGGTTGCATATAATGTTGTTTCAAATGATTTTTCCTTATTTTCATTTTGTCTCTAAATACTTTGAAGAACTTAACACATATGGTGGTTCATATTTTCTAACCACCTGTGAAATGCCCACTCTTTTCATTGAAAATGTAATTTCACTGTGATTTTTTATGGTTTTCTTATAAACCACTCTTAGGTTTGACTGTATGTAGGCACTGGGTGCAGGAGGCAATCTGGATTTCATATTACATTTTCTCAGAAGGAAAATGTACATCTTTCTGCTTATTGGTTATGTTCTGG